AGCACAGTTAGAGACTTTTTAGTGTTGTGTCGTTTACGCGCCAGCAGTACATATCAAAATGTCATCAACACACTCCTCAAAAGAGCAACGTTAGGGACTTTTTAGTGTTGTGTCGTTTACCCTCAGCCTCGGTTTTTTTTCAACCATGTGCAATGTACACCACCTCGTTTGCACCCTTACATTTTGTTCATTTTGAGGTAGACGGAGGTGTACATATTAACGAGATATCGCTATAGTACGGACAGGCAAGGGCGTCAACCATTCAGACTTCAAAAAAGTGAGGGGTGTGAGGGCCGTGAGGGCGGTGAGTGCGTGAGGGGTGTGAGGGCCATGAGTGCGTGAGGGGCGTGAGGGCAGTGGGTGCGTGAGGCTCCTTCAGACGGAGAAATTTTCTCAGCAATTTTGGTGTTGATGGCGGGTTGTTCCCTAGCTTTCCCTAGATCGACACGAATTGCTGAGATCCGGTCCGGCTCGGAACAAGACAGCAACTACGAGGAATTCGAAGAGGTTTGAAGCGGCTGCATCCAATCAGGGACGCGATATTTTCCCGTGATACATCGTGCCGGTGGTGATGACAACAAAATACTTGATTCTGGTTTGAAATTGATTGTTTTTGGAAATAAACTGCTTGAGAAAGGTGTATTAGTATTCTCAACTAGATTTAAATTAATAAAAACACATTCATAGCGTGTAATTGTGTGTCTAAATAGTGCAATAAAAATAAAATTTCATGATGATGTTGGCAAATTGCAGCAACTGGTTGCTGCGTGCGAACGCGGGCGGCCCGTGTTGCTCTTGTTGCGACGTCAAGTTTCTGGGCGAAATTGCCCTATCATAAGCGGGCCTGAGTAGCGTGAGGGCCATGAATGCGTGTGGGACGTGAGGGGTATGAGTGTGTGAGGGTCATGAGGGCGGTGAGTGGGTGAGGGTTGTGAGGGCCATGAGCGCGTAAGGGGCGTGAGGGCGGTGATTGAGTGAGGGAAGTAAGTTCTGTGAGGGCGGTGAGGGCCATGTGTGCGTGAGGGGCGTGAGGGCGTTGACGGGCGTGAGGGCCGTGAGTGCGTGAGGGCCGGGCGGTGAGTCCGTGAGGGGCGTGAGGGCCATGAGTGCGTGAGGAGCGTGAGGGCTGTGTGAGGTTCAGTGAGGGTGAGTGAAGGGCTGAAGGTGAGTGAGGCTGTGAGGATGAGGGTGAGCGAGGGGCTGAAGGTGAGTGCAGCTCTGAGGGTGAGGGTGAGTGAGGGGCATAGATGAGTGTAGCTGTAAGGTTGAGGGTGAGTGAGGGCGACCTAAAATGCCGACCTCTGCCATCTGTATGGTGAGTATGCTTGCTGTATCTCGTTGAGTGCATTTAGAGCCTGTTAAATAATGAAAGAAACAAATGATTATCTTTTCATTCTAATATACACTTCACTAACAATATTTTACAGATAAACAGATTTAAGCGATTATGGTTTTTGATGCAAGAACCACTCATGAGATATTGGGGTAGTGTGATCCGCGAGGATTGAAGGAACGGGTAATCCGCTTTTAAGCTCTTGATTTTTCGTCTTTGTGCTTTGTTCCGACAACCACGGAAAGGCGTATTCTTATATAGCGCCGTCTTCACAAAATAGGCTTGATGTCGCACATCGTTTTTGACCTTAGTAGTGTAAAATGTACATTGTTAGCATACAAAAGAAAGCCACAGTTATACCTCCGGAAAACAACTGACTGCAAACGTTTATAATTTAACGCCATGAAATGCTCTTGCCTGACGTTATACTTTTCTTTTTTTAATAATTATGTCTTTTGATACCTACAGGGTTTTCTCTAGCTCAAGTTAAGCGTAAATTTCGTGTAAAAACCTAGTATACACATCCCATTTATTATACTGAAATTCCGGCAGTGTGGGTTTCTTGGAAAAAATGCAAGATCGTGAAGACCTATTGTTTTCTATGAGCAGGAGGATAAGAGAAAGAATCCGTCGGTTTGGCACAACTACTCACATATATTAGCACATAATGCAACAATTTCAAAGTTTCTCAGATATTAATACTCTAATGCAGATTCAGGAGGATGTCTAGGTTCGACATTGTACATGTTCGTTTTAAAAGGTAACGGAAGTGACGTTTTCACGTTTGATTGACTGGGGGCAAACGTGACGTAATTTCCCTTTAAAATGCGGGCGGAGTAGGGTAAACCGAAAACTCTACCCTTCCTGGACCTAACACAATCGTGACGTTTCGTTTTGTACCGACTACGTGTGATAAGGTCCCAGCTCCAAAGTAGGCGTCTGTAGTCAGCCACGTTTTCCAAGCCGCGTCGTTGTGGGGTTATGCCATTTTTCAACTAACTTAGTTATCGTTTTCGCCGGGAAGACTACCGGCACCACCGCGATGCATTTCATCTCTCGGAGGATTTCAAGCATTGCCTGCCACAAAATGTGGTGCGGTGGTTGTGCGACGCAGCGCGATACAACGTTGGCGAGAAGGAGCGGAAATGAATAGAGTGCGATACGAAACTTGTGGACGTTCACGACTGTGGAGCTTCAAGTATTGTGTGCACTTTGTTTCTACGACACGGGGTGCTTCCAAAGCTTGGTGGCGAGCCACAAGCACGTAGTGTGGGACTGAAGAGTCGCCTCTGTCGCTATCGTGCGTCGTCTCGGGGCCGGCGCAGTTGGGGCCACTTCCCGACACGCCGAGCGAGAGGCAGGACCAGAAGTGGGGCCTCCGGTTGATCGGATAAATACCTGGCATCATCGGTTTGCTTGAACGGGACGATAATCGCCATCGTCGGCACGTCCAAGAACGATCCTCTTCCAGAAAGGTGGTGTACTGTGCCGCAAGCATTTCTACGCCCTCAAAGTGACGGTGGTAGGTACACTCTTAAGACGTAGTCAAAATCCGTTTCATATGTGTTAAAATAATACAGCATAACCTCGGTGCGATGGGAATATGCCATTCTATAAATGAGAGTTGTGGGTTTGTTTGCTCGAGCTGCTTGAGTGTTTGCTCGAGGTAGCATGTCAGGACTTTTAAAATGTGCATCCTTCCGCCCGGCCCATTATTTTTGTTTGAATTTAGTGGTTCCATGTCATCATATCTTCAGTCCTTGAAGGTAGGTTTGCAGTTATATTAATAGTGTCAAACAAAATAACTGTAATTTAAACTGACTTGTGAGCCATGAGTGGGGTATTCAGGTAATTTTACGTCGGTATCTCTCACGCTTCTTCATGCATGTGGTGGTTGTGTACCGCTTAAAAACCACAGTAGCGCGCAAAATGTGCTGTACCAAACATTAACAACTGTGCAAGCCCAGTGTCTATAGTTCTGTTACGTCTTTGTAAATACTATCTGAAGTACCACAATGCCGAGAGAACACTAAGACGAAAACATCTATTTTCATTGATTTCTTGCCGTCAATTAGAAAGAGAACAGAGTATAATAGGTTTCGTCTTCTAAATTTGCAGGTGACTACGGCTACGGCTTAAAGTCGTGGTCCATCAACCCAGTCCCCGGGATCCACGTGGCCTCCATTGCGTGCTGCCGTTCTAGTAAGGCGCATCCCTCGGTCAGCGCATTTGTGGAGCGTTGCTGTGGGCTGCTCAAGAAGAAATTCTAGTGTCTGCGAATGCACCGCGCTTTCTATTACATTCCACCAATAGTCACTACCGCGATTACAACGGTACGTGCAGTGCTGCGCAACGCCTGCCTTGCATCGAGCAGGCCAAAACCCGAGTCAGGTTCCGACCCTGAGAAGTCCCAGTTTGAGTCTGAGCCGAGGTTGGATGTTTTTGAGCCGAGCTCGCAGGGGTCAGCGTCAAATGGCGAGAGGCTGGCTCCGCGCAACCTTTCGGTCGGCTTCTTGGACGGAGCTTTCAAATAACGCCTTGTCGCCTGGCTCGGGACCCGCCGCAGCCGTGCCCCTGAGCGGCGCCGCACACTCCAGTAGAGCAGTCCCAGCCATGAGGGATGCTTCGGAATCAAGAAGTCCGTTGCCACACCGGTGGTTCCGCCCACCAAGGACACCGTCAGGAAACCCCCAGCGCCCACCACCAAGTTGGTGCCCTGCTCGGATGCCACCGCCGACGGAGAGCCTCCCGCCACCACGACTGAGGTCCCGACAACCAAGGACCCGTCGGTTCCTTTACCGTCAGTGAACCCCTCCCCATGGAAGCCGTCAAGTGTACACTTCGCTTCCTGCTTCGCAGTCATGGCCCCCCATAAGCTATGTAATCTCTTCAGCTGCAACACCTTGCACACTTCATCACACAGTGAACGTGGATGGGGCCAACCTGAACCTAAGAATGAAAAACGTGAATGTACAGAGATACAAAAACAGAAAAATAACGCTGAACTACCAACTATGGTCTAATACTTCTTCATCTTCAAGTGCCTTGGATATCTGCCTTTTTTTTTATTTATTCTGAGAGCTCTAGGTGCAGTCTAGTTTAAAATGTCCCGCATTCCAGCAGGACAAAAAACACCCAAAACACTATCGCTTTTCTAGTCGAGCTTGATTGAAGGCACGCTAACTCATGTCGCTTTATCTCCTTCAATGGCCATTGTTTCAAGCATTTCTCGTGCATACGAGCTTTGTTTTTTGCAAGAATGGTGATGCTGTTGAACACGGCACTGCATATACAGGCGCGGAAATGACCTCCTGCAGTTCTGTTACCCTTAATAGATGCTACATACTCTATTGTGCGGTCATTTACGCACCTACCAGATGACCGATGTCACATTTAACACGTGATAGGGGAACGTGACACACAACCCAATGTCACACGGGGCATATTTTGTTTTCTAAGAAATGTTGTACATTTTCTCCTGTTTGAGGCTGCAGCTTACTTTGCTGCGCATAAAATACGCCTTGTTTAGAGCAGGGTACACGACGTAACGTTCTGCCTCGTGGCTACTTTTAGAAGCGAAGCTCCTTGGGGTTCAGCCTTCTCCGGCGTCCGTGCTCACATCGATTGCCATCCTATCCGTCTTCTTAAAAAAAAGAAACAGCGCTTGCGCAGTCGACAGGATTCGAACCTGTGATGGGAAACCGCATTGGATTTCCAGTCCATCGCCTTAACCACTCGGCCACAACTGCGGGACGAGTAGGGGGCTTTGAGGTGTGGTAGTAGCTCAAGAGCTGGGGATGTCATGAATGAAGCGCTGCATGTAGCCGCTCAACGTATATATAGGAGAGGGCGTTGCGGTCAAATTCGTATATAATCGCGTTAAAGTTTTCATGCATTGGCTCAACCTTTATAGACGAGAGGGCGCTGCGGTCAAATGCTCAAATGCGTATATAACCACGTTCCATAACACGCATTCTCTTTCTGACATGGGTGAACACGAACGAAAAGCTCGCCATGCTGCGGCTCAGCGTCTACGCTGACAGCAAGCTGCTCCGGAAAGGATAAAAAAAAATCAGCACCATCAGCACTACATATAAACAAAATAAGTAACATCAGCACCACCACAGCTTCGTCCCAATCAACATCATTCACCACGTGGAGATGCGGCCATTTTTTGTTTTCCAATTAATTGGCCATGCAGTGAATGTAGTGTGTTACTTCCATTTTTTTGCCGATTTCTTGTCTTCTCTCTTCCATCAGTGCCAGCTGATTTGCATTACCGTTTGGTGCAGTTGTTTTCAGATACGCATACCAGGCGACCAATCGGATACCCATAATAACGTAGGCAGAAAAAAAATGTTTTTCAATACTTTGCCAATTATTCTGCTGACACAAATTAACTATGAAACACTTTGTTTCATAGTTAAGGAATGTCCAAAAGCAAAAGAAATCAATTATTTCCATGGCATTGATTTATACTTTCCAGCATATCTCTAAATCTTAATAATCCAGTGTGAAGTCGAGGAACCTCATGGACCTGTCCACAAGTGATTCATGTGCTACGTTTAGAGTCGGGCGGTACTGCCTCCGGACATGTGTGTAGCACATTCCGGTGATAGTGAAAGACTTTTTATTTATGAGCAAAAGGCATAAAATGCGTGAGACAATGACCGAGAAGGCTTGCGGGCTTAGTTGTTAAACCGACAAAGGTCATCTGGCTTACCAATGCAAAGAGCCGAAAAATAATATAGAATTTCTGTAGACCTGTAAAGACCGGTTTTATAGTGTTGGTTTAACCAGGAATATTGCCATTTTGAGGATTGTTTCATCTCACCTGTGGTGTTAAGTGTCTCGTTGTTACATTCGTTTCCATTTTATCTTCTGCGTTATGACTGTACGCCAGTCAGGTGTGCTTCTTGATGTTAGTATTGGAACTTGTGTCAGGTTCTCTGAAGACATTGCAGAGCTTGTCTTAGCATGTCTCTCTCTTTTACTTTTTCTCACAATGCCTAGTCAAGGATGTTTTGGAAAATAAAAAGTTCAGCTCTGTTTGACACTTTTTGATGCATGCGACTTTTTTGCGTGCAGTATAGGGGTTTATGCTATGTCGCACAGGTAGTTAATTTTTGAAAGAACTTTATTATTTAAACGCAAAACTGTAACTTGAAAATGTAAGATTATGTGGAAACATGGGTAGCAATATTTGATTTCCGAAAGTAAAAATTAACACTGACTAATAGAGCACAATGTAGACACTTCGGCATTCTTAAATCAGAGATGTTATGTCAAACATTCTTATTTTGTATGAACTCGTTTTGAAGCACACTTCCTCTAGATTGCAATTTGTAACTTATCAAATAATAAACACGAATGCTGCCATTATTGGGACAATACTAACTGCAGTTCCACAATGATCGAAAAATATTAACAGAAGACGTAGCAAAGTTTTCTAGTGAGGTATTCGAGACAAGAAAAAAGTAGTTGGTATTGCCAGTTATGTCTACACGTATGGTCTGAAAGAAAGGTGAGCGCGCAGGCGAGCTCGTGAAAAGTAAACATACCCTGACCTCAGAAAAGGAAGGAAAAGAAAGGTGGTCTCCGAACACAAAGTGTTTTCAGAGACGCAGTGTGTTGACCCTCTCCTTTACGTATCTTGTTTCTTCCCTGTCTCAAGATAATTAATGTCAATCGCCGTTTCTTTGGATTAAACGGAGCGAGGAGGCGTCCTTGTCCAGGTCGTCGACTTGGGTTCACGCTTTCATTAAGCGCCGAGACCGTAAAACGCTGGTTGACGGCTGTTTTTTATGAGCAGCCGTCAACTACGCGATTCTTGCTTGCTCCGACATATTGCTTTAAATAAGACGCCAAGCCAAGATCGGCATTCCTTGTAATATTAAAAGAACTTTCTCTCCAATCAACTCTTAAATATTTTCGAAAGAACACAAAAACGTTCTTTGTTTTAATAACGGCCACTAGGTTTGTATTCTTTCAGAATACATTTTCTTCTACTAGAACAGATGCGACGGTCAGCTACACGCAGGATTGGTTGCCGTCGCTTTTCTATACGCACACACTGCTCACCCCATTCCAGTAACGCATACCCTCGTTTCCGCGCGCAGGTAAGCCTCGGGGACTGCGTAGCTTTTTCCGATCGACGGGGGTTGGCTCTAGACGTCGCTCAAATGGGTGACAGACAAGTTCGCGATGACGTAGAGGCGTAAAAGAGGGTAGAGCCGCGGCGCGTGTGTTGCTACCATACGTTACACCTTTCCTTTAAGTCACTCCCATGATTGTTTCTCAAATTTCCAACCTAGCGATCGAGAAACAAGCGCGTGCGGCATGATATGTAAATAGCATTGACAAACCGACGGTTTGCTTGCCCCCTCATTATAAACAAGAATGCCGATAACCTTTGAAAGATTCGTTTCACTAGACGTGCGCATGTGGCCGTAGCTGTACTTACACAGCAACGAAAGCGTAGTTATAAAATAATGACGTTTTTGTGTATAATTTCAGTAAGAGATGTTAACATAATTCTGCCATTTTCAACGCCAACCGTGAATTAAACTACTCGAGATATAATACAGCTTCCTTCTTGATAAATATAATTTGTTTCGGAAACGTTTTCAAAAGCTAAACCTAAATACGGTGATTTGTTATGTATATCAATATTTCCTTTGAACGCAGACCGTCAGTCGTTAAAATAACTATTTCCGGGGAACGCATAAAACTATCGTCGCATATTCGATTATTCTTTTATAAAAACAATCGCATTATTTTCATAATATATTACCACGACTTTATGTCACTAAAAGCAAAGGGTTCTCGCATGTTCAAGGCCTCTCTTCTTCCTTTTCCTTGACAGCCGAGTCGGAGAGATCTAGTGAGAATTCCGTTAACTGAATTTGCGTCCATCCTGCGCTAATCTTAAGGACTAAGCCCTTCGCGTGTTATCGTTCTGCGCGTCTGGTCAACATTGGCGCATGACATTACCTCTCCTTCGACAAAAGATCGTCGGGAGGCTTCACCAAAGCAATTGGTGCGGGTGAAATAGGCCAGCTTATTATCTCGCATAGTATAGTTTTAGTCGGACCACGTGAATGGCTCCTTGACGTACGGAAGGGCTTGACGAATGAAGTCTACCATACGGGACGACTTCGCATGTAAGGACATTCAGCCGACGGTGAACGTTTTATAGGTCAAAATATTTTCGGAGAAGTTTTTTTCACTTCGTCTTTCAAAAGTGGTTGAGACTCACGCATGACCACTCGGTTGGAATCGGATGTCCCGGCGGCGCAGGTTGCTGTGTCGGTCGTGCACGAGGTTCTGTTGGCAAATGCGCATTTTTGCCAGTTGATGTGCTTCTTCTACACATCGTACGCAAACGTACGCATCCTTTCCCGTCATGTTCGGGGAATGAGGTAGCAATGCATTAAGCGCAGTTGTAGCCTCGCGGCCGTAAACTAGTCGGAATTGCGTGTTTCCATGTTTCCTGATGTGCCGTATTGTACGAAAACGTCACGTAAGGAAGAATCTCATCCCACGTCTTGTGTTGGACATCAACGTACACGCATAGCATGTAGGAGGTGGCTTCGTTGAGGCGCTTCGTGAGGCCGTTGATTTGTGGGTGATCTGCCGTTGTTTTTCTGTGAGTCGTTTGAGTCACTCTCATGATTTCTTTCGTAAGCTAGGCTGTAAAAGCAGTACAACGATCGGTTATGATGACCACTGGAGTGCCATGACGCAAAACGAAGTTGTGTACGAAGAACTCGGCCACCTGCATTGCGGTTCTTTGTGGGAGAGGTCCTGTTTTCGCGTACCGTGTAAGGTTGTGTTTCTCGAGGATGGTCCACTAGTTCCCTGAGGTTAGGTTGGGGTGGGGCTCCGGAAGTTCATTTCGATTTGTTTTAAAAATGCCGACGGCGGGTTGACGAAATGGAGGAATGCGGCATGCCTCAGAGGTGGCGTTTTACGTTGTTGGCATTCGCGACATGTCCTAACGTATTTGTGTACAGCCGCGGACAATCGAGGCCAGTAGTACTTCTGACGTACTTTTGCCGGTTTGCGGGCAAATCCGAAATGTCTCGACGTAGGCTGGTCGTAATATCACGTACTGACACGTAAGCTAGGGCTGGCGAGAAAGCTCTAACCGATAGCATGCGAAGGGCTATCTCCTTAAGCGAGAAGCAAACATTCCGCAACTTCAACGGAACGTTCCCGCCGTTGAATCTCGCTTTTCGAAAGAAATGTTCCACCCAGTCTTTTGTGTGTTCATAGGGGTAACGATGGAAAGTTTTTGGTGTTCCGAGGGTCTGGTAGATGATTTCGCTCGGCGAAATCATCTATATTTTTATGCTTTATTTTTACAAAGTATTTAACCACTCCTAAAATTTTGTCCAACTTAAGTAACTCTGTCAGCAGCTTCACATAATATTTAAAATAAAAATGCTTAGCAACAATTCGCTGAAATTATATACGCGACAAGCTTCCCAAACTCTTGAATTCTTTCCACTTTCCTAAGCGCATGAGACAAGCTAATGTTGTGGAGTATCATTTGGAAGAATAGAAATAAATTTATAATCGAAGTAGTAGTGCTGAAGTACATTATGCAAATCGTGTTTTGTCAAAAGGCAAACAAGTAGACCGTACAGATCCGGGGGATAAGAGTAATACAGAATATCTTAAACTATGAATACAACGAAAATTCCTGCAAAGATCTGTATGGTCTGGGAAATGTGCGCGAAGTTGA